CGTTTTATACCCGAGCCCTTTAAAAAATCAGAGCCGCCAAACCCGCATCTCGGACAGCCTGCGCTGACGTTGCAGTTTGCTGCAGCCATGCCAGAGACACGAGACGGAAAGAAGCGTCCCAGGGAGGGAGGAAGCCCAGAGGCCGATCCCCGGCCTACCAGTCCAGTGGAGAAACGTGTCAAGCGAAAGGAGGATGCTTGTGTTGACCCTGGAATGCTGTCAAAAAATGGAGAACCGGCCCCAAAGGGGGGTCCTGGAACGTTTCTTGAGGTCGCCTCAAGGCCAGGGACAGCGGATGGCGATGGCTTCCAGGCTGTCGTTAATAAAAAGCATGAGGCCAGGAAAAGAAAGAAGGCCTTAAAAAAGAAAGCACCCGAGCCCAAAACTTCAAGGCTCAGGACCACGGAGGCAGTTAAGATTTCGGCGAAAAATCCAGAGGAGTACGCCGAAATCTTGAAGCTGATGAAAACTTCGGTTAAACCAGAAGAAACTGGCACCGAGGTCCTGAAAATTAGAAGAACGTTTAACAAAGAGGTTCTTCTTGTCGTGAAAAAAGGTGGAGAGACCTCTAAATTTGCGGGGGCGATTACTTCGGTTTTGCATGACAAGGCCGAAGTGAGAGCTCTTGTAAGTAAGAGGTCGCTCGAGATAAGAGATCTCGACGAAACCACGACCGAGGAGGACGTTCTTCTAGCCTTGAAGAAGAAGCTCGGGAAGACGGACCTGGATGCGTCGTGCCGCCTTTTACCACGTTTTAGTGGTACAAAGGTGGCGCTGATCCGCCTGACTGAGGTGGAGAGTGACTCTCTTCTGAAATTGGGCAAAATTCAGATCGGGTGGATAAACGCCCCAATCAGAGAGCATATGGAAGTAGCAAGGTGCCTTAAATGCTTGGGTTACGGTCACGTTACCCGAGCTTGCAAGGGCCCCGACAGAACCAAAAACTGTCGGAGATGCGGCGAGGAAGGTCACCTTGCGAAGACCTGCACTGTCGAGAAACCAAAGTGCTTAACGTGCACAGATTTGGGGAAGACAGCAACGGACCATGTCGGTGGAAAAACCTCATGTCCGGTTTACAAACAGGAATTGCAGAGGCTTAGGAGGGCAAACCCTTAAAGTTTCTGCAGGTCAACCTGCACACCTGTAGGGATGCACAAGCTCTTGTGATGCAAACTGTCAAGGAAAAAGGGGTGGACGTTCTGTTCTGCAGTGAGCAGCATCGAAAGAACGACCTTGCCCCTTGGTACCAGGATAAGACAGGAAGAGCGGCTGTGCAGGTGTGCAACCCAGATCTGCGGGTTGACAGATTCCTGGAGACGTCCAGCGGATTCGTGTGGATAGAGGTGGCAGGCTTGCGTATGTATAGCTGTTACTTCTCCCCAAACGATCTGCTGGCAGACTTCGAATCCGATATGGATGACCTCGAATCGAGCCTTAAAGAATCCACGCTGGATGTCCTCGTCACGGGCGACTTTAATGCGAAGTCGCCAGAGTGGGGTGAGACAAGGCTCGATAAAAGAGGAAAAATGATCGGCGAAATGGTCTCCAGGAACAACTTTCTTGTTGTAAACCGGGGAACGACATGGACGTTCAGGAGGGATGCGATCGGATCCATTATAGATCTAACGATCGCATCCTCCAAAATATTTAGCCGCATATGCGACTGGCGGGTCTCTGAGGATTACACCGCAAGTGACCACCAGTACATCGAGTTCTCAGTCTCAGTTGATCTTTAGTTACGACCAGGTCAGGCTTACGTAGACCCTCCCTGGTTTTTATGCGAGGTTCAAGATGTACTGAACATCCTCTCGCACGTAGTCTTTGAGCACAGTATTTGACCACCGCGTCATGCCGGGCAATACGTGCTGCATGCGTGCGGTGACAGACCTGAAGGACATGATTGAGGGTTTCCGGTGCACGATTTAAAGTGACCGGATCAGAACAGCCTGCTCTGCATCCCCTATCACTAACTCGCCCTCGAGAGGTTCTCGATCTGGTAGGTAAAGCACTTATTCTCAACCGGCAGGAATTTATGAAGTCCCTGCCAGTCAAAAACCTCGTGCCATCGCTCACCCAATGATGTTGCCCACGAGTAGCAATTGAATCTCTGAGGCCACATCCATCCACTAAAGAATGGAGTTTTCCAGCCCAGAGTTTCCTAACATCATTGAGTGATACCAGCCGATCCCCCCGATCTACTAGTCTGCGTTCACAGATAGCGATCTCTTTTTCAAGGAACGAGTTAGCCGCACCGATGTTTTCTGTGCGTAGTCCTTCAAGTCGTCGTTTCCGCAATAAGGGAGCCATCCATCTCACCGAGGGAATACCCAAACCACCGTCTGCTACTGATGAATGGAAGTAAGCCTTGGGTGTATCATGGGGCAAATTCAGCCATCCACGCACAGCCGATCTTACGGCAATATCGACTCTGTTTAAGGAGCCGATAAGTACGTAACCCAAGGCCAACTGATGGTATAATTTCGGGATCAGGTTACAACGA